CACTACTCTTATATATAAAATTATAAATTTGTTAAACTATATTATCTCAATAAACTCATTGAAAAAATTAAAATACATTATTTTTGGAATATGAATTAAAATATTTTTTTTGTTTTTTTATAGTGTTTAATTAAAATTACATAATTTTAAAATAGTTTTTTAAATTTTTAAAAAATAAATAAGTAAACACTACTCTTATATATAAAATTATAAATTTGTTATAATAATAAAATGATCAATACACTATATTGAAATATTTAATAATAATTAGGTTAAAACTCTATTTTGGTCCTAGAACTATTGTACGGACCTCTGATTTGGTTCTTAAACTTAAAAAATCTCTGATTTAATCCCTAGTGTTTATTATTTTTACCCCGAGTTGGTCCTTTTATTAAAAATTTGGTGACATGGCATGTTATTTTATTGTTATAAGATGACATGTCAAACATTAATACATGTAGAAGACAATGTGACAAAAGAGTGATGACATGGAAAAAATAATAATATAAAATAATATTATTATGAAAAATAAAACTTAAAATTTTTTTTCTTTTTTCCTTTTCTTTCCCCTTGGAACCCAGGCATTGGGTTTGGTGGAACCCAATATGCTCATGGAACCTAGGGGCAAAAAAAAAAAATTTGTTTTTTATTTTTGGGTTTTGTTGTTTGATGATTGATGAAGATGAAGAATTGATTGATGAATAAGGCAAGGCAAGTAAGAGGAAGGAGAAAGAAAGGGTGTTGTTGGGTTCGAAAAATCCAGGGGCAAAAAATTTTTTAAAAAAATTTTGTTTTTTTGTGGGTTCTGTTGTTTAACGATGATGATGAACCAACAAGGGTAGAAATTGGTTGAGATGTTAGAAGTTGATTGACATGTTAGGGTTTGCAGAAGTTGAAGAAAGGGAAAAAGAAAAAGAGGAACGAAAAAAAAAAAAATTTTGGCGTGGGATGAGTTGGAATGTCATGTCATCTATTTTTGCCAACTTATTAATTTTTGTACGATATGTAAGGTACTTGTTGTTTTTATCCGTCAATTAATGTGAAAACTTAATAGAAGGACTAAATCGGGGTAAAAATGATAAATAATAAAGATTAAATTAAAGATTTTTTAAGTTTAGAGACCAAATTAAAGGTCTATACAATAGTTTAACGACCAAATTAGATTTTAACCTAATAATTATATAATAAATTTGTTTTTTTATAATAATATCACATTAAAAAGAGAATTTACGTACTATCACGCGGTATAAATTTAAGTTAAAAAATAAAAAAGAGAAGAAAGTGGAAAAAGAAGAAAGAGAATAAAATCTGTCCTTTCTATGCCTATATCTATCATCAATGTGTCAAACATTCGCTACGTGTAGGCTTAAAAAGAGGCCTCCGTACCATTAATATCGACACAATACTTTACTTTTCAGGCGGGGATTGCTTGGGCAACGAGAAATAGCACATTTTCTGACGCCCCCCCACCCCAGATGGATCCACTAACCACACGCTCCGTCAGTGCACGTATATAACACTCTCCATCGGAAATCTAATCCAACGCAACCATATCGAACGTACCCCAGACATCAAACCCAGTAAAGTCAGCTACTCTTCTATAAAAACAGAAAATATCCTAACACAGGTAATAAAGAAAGCCCATATATATTCTTCCGAGAGATTTCTTTTTTTTTTCTTTTTTCTTTTTTTTTTGACTTCGAGGACTTTTTTGTTTACTCTCTAGGGTCCTCACGCTGCTATAAAACCCTCTCATCCCCCCCCAGTGTCCACCGGACAACGGGGAGATCATGGAAACGACGTCGGCGTGGAATACCACAGGCTTACATGTACGGCGGAATGTGGGTCTGTTACATAGGTCCTTCTACTGGGGACATAATTCCGTAATCCTCTTCTCGGGTTGGCCAGGTTCCAGTCCCGGCATGTACGCGTTGGCTCTGATCTTTGTCTTCGTACTGGCGGTGATGGTGGAGTGGCTATCCTATTGCAGCTTTATCAAGCCTGGCGCAAACAAAGTCGGCGCGGGGTTCTTTCAGACTGGGTTGTATGCTGTGCGCGCGGGGCTGAGTTACTTGGTCATGCTGGCACTCATTTCGTTTAACGGCGGTGTTTTCCTAGTCGCCATTTTCGGGCATGCAGTGGGGTTCCTCATTTTCGGGAGCCGGGCTTTCAGGAAGTCGGAGAAATCGCCCGATCTCCCTCCGAGGAAGTGATGAGCTGAATAATTAACGTTCAGTGTTTGCCATGAGATGAGATGATCAAAGTTAATTCTCTTCGCGAGCCTAAGTAACAGTCGCCTCTTTTTTTCCTTTTTACTAAGAAATCCTGATTGAGGATTTTGGAACTACCTGGATTCTTTTTTTAAATAATAGCTGAACCTCCCCGTTGACGATTGATCTTCGAAATCCTTATGATGATGAAAGAGATCCCACATTCAACTACATTATTTCAATTATTTAGATTAGTAATGGAAAGAGAAGCTAGGAAATTAAGGGAGCGGTAGATAAGGGAGAGTAAGGGAAAGGGAATGGAAAAATTAGTATTAACTTTATTCGCATAAATAAAAGTGGAGAAGAGTGTAAGGTAATATTTTTATTTAATTAAATAATTTTAAAAAATAAAATGTAATAAAAATTTTTAATTTTATTAGTTAAGTAAATGATTGAAATAAAATAATTATATATTCTTAAAAAAATTTAAATTGATAGACCAAATCCATCACAATCTCTTAAGTTAGAGGGATGTAAGACTAAAGGAACTTATGAGGATCAATCTCCGTCTCATTTCATTAATAAAGTAATTCAAATAATTATAGACAATGACAGATTTGATCTTATCAATGATTTATTGTTCATAATAGAAAAAATTTAATTTTTTTAAAATAAAATCTCAAATTTAAATTTTATAAATTAAAAAATAAACGTTAAAGAGAATTTTTTTGGCTGATAGAAAAGAAAAAAGATGAAGATTTAATTAATAGAAAAAATTTAATTTTTTTAAAATAAAATCTCAAATTTAAATTTTATAAATTAAAAAATAAACGTTAAAGAGAATTTTTTCAAATAAGTTCCGACACGATTCGATTTTAAATTAATAAAAATCTAATATGATTATTAAATACAGATATATTAATACTAAAAAAAAAAGATTTGATACTCCCTGCCCCCCCGCCTCCCTCAATTAAACCTCACATTCTAAACGTACTGCTAGGGTAAGAAAAATCGTTTTAAGCATTATTTAGAAACTTCAAATAAGAGACTCACCTCTTTTCTTCATCAGATTGTACATATTCCTGTTCTTCGTCTTCATCAACGGCCATTGCCGATTATCCTCGACTACTATTAGTCGAATGAGCTTAATTTGACTGCCGTTGGTTCAATCGGCAATCCAAAGAGGTTTCAAAGATAATTCCATTCGAACTCAGTAGAAGCTAGAATTATCTATGTAGAGAATAAGATGAGGATCAATGATGACGGTTGATGTTTTGGAAAATTCAAAGGACTGCATTACATGCCATGGTAGGTGGTGCAGAAGATATCGTCCACATTTTTGGCGCCATGTGGCGAGCTCAGGCCTGCCGCCGGCGCTATATTCCAAATAATTAATTTGGGCCTTCGTTCGTCTCGTTTGTGTGATCCTGGGCTTCATTTACTGGTCCACTAGAATTTAGGCGGTTCTATAGCATTAACTCATATTTACTGGCCTTGATCCGTTGATCACCCTGGAATTTTTTTTCGGTATTTGGGGATTTTTTTTAGTACATCAAAGGTAACATCACAAAGATTTGAATCTTTAATTATGATCCTAACAGTGTATATATTTTGGTCAAAAGAAATGGAGGGGAGTGTAAAAAAAATTCTTTATTTAATTAAAAAAAACATTAGAGGAGATGGGAGAGAAAATTTTTCTTTTACTTTATTTATTTTTTTTT